TTTAAAGTAATGATTAGAGGAATTAAGTACCAGCCCTTTTAAATTTTATCATCTTTATAAATAGGCACCTCAAAGATCAGTTTCACCATAAATAATTCTTAAAATTTATTCAGTTTAATTTTAAATTTTATTATCAATTTTCAAAAATAAAATAAAATGCAAAAATTAAATGAGACAAAATCAAATTTCAAAATTTTTATTTGTAAAGAGAAGTAAATTTGAGAAAGATGAATTATCTTATTTATTTCCTAATTAATCATATTTTTTAATAATTCCAAACATTTTAATTTATATTTGTTTGAAAGTTTACAGAAACTTTGAAATACTAGTTCAATGTAAGAGATATTTGTTCATTTATATTGATTTGTTTACACCCCTCTCCCTTATCTACGCTTTGGATCCATCTGAGTAGGACAGGCATAAATCATGTACACTGGAAAGTACTATCACTTGAAACTTGAAAGCTATCCTCTTGACTAAAACCAGTTAAACACACTTAGAAAACTACTGCAATACGTACTAAGCCTAATAATTCTGAAATGTCTACTGGAAAAAACACTAAAAGTCAAGCAATAAATAAATAAAATAGAATCAAACAAACAAACTCTTGATGTGCTCTTTGCTAAAACTAGTTATGAAACACCTACCAATTATGCCAGGATACACTTGGCTTCTTGGATATACCAAGGCTTCGCTGGAAATATTACAGAAAAAAATCTTAATTTTATTTTTTTAAAATTATAAGTACTGTCACATCCAATTTATTTATATGATTTTTTTAGAAATTTTAGGTGATTATTATATCTGAACTCAATTAACCTGTCTAATTATAAATAATTATTAGCCAATATGTTAAATTTGATTAATATTTGTTAATCGAAAAATAATAAATTATTTACTATATTTTATAATTTATTAGATGAAATAGTTCAAAATTAATTGGTTAAACATAAGTTATTAATTAAATTTTATTAAAAATTACAAAAAATTACGTGTATTTAGTTTTTTCTCATTTTTAAATTAATTTGTTTCTTTCATTTTTATAATTTTTAATAAAATTTAATAAAAATTAAAAGTGTTAAATTTTTAATATATATATATATAACTAACATATTGAAATAATTAGTCTATTGAAATTAAGAGAAATTTAAAATAATTTATCTCTCTTTGGCTTGTTTTAATACAACGCATATATAGCTTTTCTTATGGATATGCATTACAGGCATTTGGATGGACGTATGTAAAATTGAATTTCAATGATCGTATAAAATTTATTTTTCTATAAGTAGGTTTGAAATAATTTAATTTTTGGTTAAATATGAATTAAAAATATTTTTAACAAAATATTATTCGGATGATTTTACTCAGAATTAATGCTTAGTTGCTAAATTAGCATTAGATGAACATGTAGTGCATGTATTTTGTTTTTTATGCTTAAATATTTTCACACAAATCTTAGTTATTTTATATATCCTTAAACATTTCACTTGGCTACAGACAAGATGTCATGCAAATTTAGAGGGCGACACTTTGAAATGTTGGAGTGTTCGCGCGTGTCCCGACCTCTCACGGAGATCTGTGTAATTTTTTATTTTTTTATATATTTTTTGGGTTATTTATGTTATGTCATTTTGCTGCCACCTTGTTTCTCTCCCTTTGTTTCTGTCTGCTAACTCAGAAGAAGGTGTGAAATAAGACATGGATAAAATACTGAAAAGAAAATTATATATAATTTTTTTTATATTAATGTAAATTTAAAATTTTTTATACTTAATTTGAATTTTTTATTTAATTTATATTTAACAGATTATAATTTATCTAAATTAAATAAAAATCTTAAATCAAGTGTAAAAATTTTTAAACTTACATTATGTTCTTTCATATATATATATATATATAAACATATAACTTTAATATAAATATAAAATAAATATGTTTATTTATAATATTTTCCCCTTATTCCTCTTTCAACTTTTTTACGTAACTTGAATGAATTTTTTACTCTATTTAAATAAATATTTTCTTTATTCAAAGTCGTCTTCTTTTTTTTCACTTTATTAGCAATTTTTCTTTCAGTTTTTTTTATTCTGGCACAATTCTCTTTGTAGTAAAATTCATCAATTAGTTAGTAAAATTTTTCTTCAACTTATAAAAAGAATAATTTTCTTCAACTACTTCTCTTTATTTTTTCTCATCTTTGATAAGAATCTTACTATGATATTATCATTTATGAACTGTTCACTTTGATAGAATTGTTGGAAAGAAAGATGAGTCCTAAAACCGCACATAAAAAAATTAAAAAATATAAAACTAAATATAGTTTGATATCTCTTACTTATGAACTCTCAATATAATTTTATTATTTTGTCATTTTTTTATTAAATAAAATAACAAATTATCTCATTTATGATTTTTAGATGGACAAATTGATAGTATTTTGTTGTCACTTCATTTTTAATTTTTTTAATTTGAAACTTGAATAAATATTCTACTCTAATCCAACAAATTTTAGGCAATTTTATAAGATAGTCATGATAATTTCTTCTCAATTATATGTTTACCAAAATGAATCAATAAAAGTTAATTATCTAAAAACATTAGACACAAGTTAATGTGTGTTTGGGGTGAGGCAATTGTAAATTTATATTTTGATATGAATTACAAACATCAAATCACATTGGAAAGTTAAAGGCAAAAGAATAAAACTTCATACCTCAAATATGTTATACCTTATTTAACCTCCTCTTACTTGAATATTGAAGTGTTTTTTTTTTTACAACAATATTACACCTTGCTTGGAATTGTCTCACCACCATTTAAAGACAACTTCATCGAAACTGTACCTGCCTCCCACGTCAACTAGGTACTGGGACTGAAAAGTTTAAATGATTTTTTATAAAATTAATTTTACTTAAAAGCATGCTTAAAGTGATATGATTTATGTATGGATAATTGTTCTTGTAAAATTAGATTTGCAATAAAATTTAATATGTATAAGTTTTTGAAAGCTAACTTTTCAAAAGCTTGTTATGTAACATTTAACACAATTTATACCTATCACTTACCTTTATCTCATTTATAATTTTACCTTTTTAAACAAATTACATATAGATTTAAATCTTAAATTTCTATCCTCATTTAATTATAAGATTATATTAATATAATATAATATATTTTTTCAATTATTTATTACGTTTTCTCTAATTTTACCAAACGACTCTAATTCTATCTACTTGTAAAGTTACAAGTTTTTAGCTTTCAATTAATTTTACTAAATAAAGTCTTAGTATGTATCTGAGTGAGTATTTATATTTTTAAAAGATAAGTTTATCATTAAACTTAAAATAATTTTAAAATTTAATACAAAATTTATAATTTATTACATTAAGTTAAACATAAATTTTAAGAATTTAATTATGTTATAAAATTTTGTTAAACAAATTCTAATAAATTTTAACTTCAACTTTATGCAATTTAGTTTGTGTCGGAGTTTTTTTTTTAAGTACAAGTATAATTTTTCTTCGAGTTTCCAACTTGAGGTGAAACAATCTCGCATCACTTAATTCGGATGTTGCAATGCTGGAAGTTTTTACAGGAGTTTGTGTTTGTTATCTAACTTTTATCAACTTCGTTTTTATAAAATTAATTTTAGTTAAAAATAATTTTAAAATAAACCAAATTATGTTAAAATTTTTTGTCCAAACTTACTTAAACAGAATTAATTAATATTGTTCAGATAACTATGATCAAAAAATTTTAAGTATAGGTAATAAAAGTAAGAAAACTGAACGAAGGAAAAGATTATCTGAAAAGTATCATAATTTAAGAATAAAGTAAAAGAAAAGCAATTCAATTATTGTACGTTTCAGACCAAATTCAAGTTCAGCCTCAAATCAATTTTGAACGGACGCCTCAACTGAAAATAAAACAAAAGTAGAAAATTGCTTCAAGTTTTATAAATTGTCGGTAAATATGGTGAAGTGTCCACCCAAACATGCAATTAGCTGTTCATCTCTAACATTAATTAATTATTAACTTTTAATTATTTGTTTAACAATGAATGGTAATGTTTTAAATGAGGTAAAATAAATTGAAAGCATTTAAAATGTCAAATTTTCACAATTATGTGTTAAAAAGACAATAATACATTTATAATGATCATAGACCAAAATGGGATACTGATATTTTGTTTGCAATGATTTTAGCTTTTACTTTGTTTGGCAGCTCCATGATTGAATAGCCTACAGACTTTTTCCTCTGCTACTTACACAGCCATCTGTATGATTTGTATCTTTCACCTTCCCTTGTCGCCGTCCTTATTTTCCAGATTTTTATAGGATCCCACATCATAATTCTTAAGCTTGAAATTATTAAAACGTTGGAATGTAATTCTAGTAAACAAAATTAAATTAATTTTTTATTTATTTTATCATCTAGAAGGTGTCAAAAAAGAGAGTTTTAAAGTAGAAAATGTATGGATCCAACTCCTAATTTATTCATATCTTATTTTATATAAGACTTAATTCACACTTATTCTACCATAATATTTAATTCTTTTAAATATTATGATTCAAATCGTTATAACACTTAATTGATGAAATAAACAGAAGACTGAAAGATAAATTATACGGAAAGAAGATAAAAATATAAAAGTAAATTGTAACAGTTTCAAAAATTAATGTAAAATGAAATAAAATCTCATGACATATATTCTTATTTTTTATATTTTAAATGAATTAATTATATATTTTTTTAAATGGTAAAAGCAGTATTTACCATGGGAAAGAAAAGACAACGGTCCTTGCTAATTGGTATGAAGTAAATAAAGAGAATTGTCGATCGCAATACTTATCCAATTTGGATGACTTGCTGGGCCAACTTTTGTCGCTCTAATAATGCGCATCGCTCTCAACAGTGGTTTTCACGAACATACAATTCCAGATTTTCCACTATAAATAGTACATCCAACCTCAGAGGCAGAATCAACCCATCAACCTAATTGATTCTTCTTTGTCCATTGAAGCTATGTCTAGCACAGCTGGTCAAGTAATCAAATGCAGGGGTGAGCCATGCATGCATCATTCTCCATCTCTTCTTTCTTCAATGTGCTTCTTTTCCCTATTTTTCGATTTTCGTTTTTCTAACCTAACATATAATTATCACAAATTTATTAAATTCATCATCTAATTTTATTTATTTTATTTTATTCTTCTGACTTTTTTTAATTATCCTTTAAAGCTGAGTCTAAGAGCAATCGGAATGAAGTCAATGAGCTAACATTTTTCAGATGCACCCATTTTTTCTCCTCTTAATTAAGTTTTAAAAGTTAAATTAACATGACATATGGTATAATCTTATCAGATTTGTTTATGTCGCAAGACAAAATTCATTAAATAATGATATGTGACATATTCGTATAATTTTATTTCTGCTAAAAATAAAACTTAATTAAAAAAATAATTTATCTTTATAATAGGCGAAACAGATAATAACATAACAAAAAAACTCTAAACAAGAAATATGTTTTAAAAGATTATTATTTAAAAAATTATTTTTGAAAAATATTTAAAAAGTAAATCAGCTCATTATATATATCTCTTTCTTCTATCATTTTCTTATCTCTCCGCTTGCATACATCCAAGAGAATGTTCGAGTAACATATTTTATTATGTTATTATTTGTCTCTATTAAGCTTTCATGTTAATCTTTAACGTTAAAGTGAAATAAAACATAATTAACTTGGGAATTAAATAACTAGTTGACATATACAACATCAATAATAAACTGAAGCTATACTTAATCTGATTTGAGGTTCATTTAAGGAATTTTCAGTTTGATAATCATTGGCTGTGGCATGTGTAATTAAACTACAAAGTAAGTGATGAACTTAATTAGTTGTTTGGTGTAAAATGCAGCTGCGGTGGCATGGGAACCAGGGAAGCCACTGTCAATAGAAACGATAGAGGTGGCGCCACCGCAGAAAGGGGAAGTGCGTTTGAAGATCCTCTTCAACTCCCTTTGCCGTACCGATGTTTACTGGTGGGATGCCAAGGTAAAACACACTCATCAGTCTCTTCTGATCCAAAACAATGATAGCCAAAAAAAATGATTTTTCTCCTTCAGATGAAAAGATTATGATTAAAAGTGTGTTAAAATACATAATCACAGATAAACGATAGCAGTATAAATAATATTTGTTCAATTCTAACTGTTCTGCTATTTGAATCAGAAAAAAATAAATATTTATATGTTATTATAACTTTGAAATATTTTAATACATGGGCCTATCTTTCATGACCTGATTAGTTCAGAAACGCGGCACATCGACACATGCAAGCTTATCATTAGTAATTGGTAGGACACACTTTCAAAAGCATCTTTGACACCTGTCAACAGAAAGATTCTTCCTGATTAATTTTTTTTTATACGAAACATATATGATTTTCCATTTTTTGAAAATGAAAATATTTTACCTTTAAAATTAAAAAATAAGCATAAACTAAAACTTGTTATATGAATAATTTGTGAGATATGAATTGACTGTTGATGTTCTTGAGGCTCATGCTTTGTAGTTTTTCCATTTCAGGGCCAGAATCCACTGTTTCCTCGCATATTAGGCCATGAAGCTTCAGGGTATGTTACTTTTGGGGGAAACTATTTTTTAACTGGCAATTGATTAAACAATTTGTGCTAAAATAATTCAACTTTAAACCTTATTAGTTGGTTCAGTAAATTTATTAAGATAATGTTGACTTTTGCTTATCACGGTCCAAAGATAACCTAACAATATATTTTATTATTGTTAATATTGCAAGAGAAATTCATATATATTTGGATAAAAAGAATTTCTAACTGGATAACCATTCTATTATGACATCTTTGCCCTTAATGATTAAGGTGCTCGATCATATGATTCTTTCCTTCTCTTACGAATATTCGCAGATATTTCTTTTCCGTACGTACCATTTGCCTACAGTTTTTAGGCTTATGTATGTGTTTGGGAAAGATTATTTTTCCTCGTTATTGAAAAGAATATAAAAAGATATTAGTTTTTTTATAATAATTAAAAATAAGTAAAATTTTAAATTTTATGATTAAAAGTTACTGTATTAGCTTTTTTTGGTTAACTTTTTTCTTAATAGTTTATGATTTCAAATATAAAACTAATCATTACACATAATTTTATATTTTTTATGATTTTAATTTTTAAGTTTATACAATCCAAATATAATAAATTATTTTCTACTTTCTCTTATATTCATTTTGTTTTTGACAGATTTTGTTGGATTGAATTTCATCGGGCTTAATTAAGTTTTTTAAATTTCACAATTTTTATGTAGTCTCTTATTTTATTTTTTAATAAGTTTTTTTTTATAATATTATATATATATATATACACACACACACCAAATAGTCCCTTCGTGATTTTTATTTTCCATTTAATTCTTTTAAATATTATAAAATTTCCATTTGGTCCTTATAAATATTACAGATTTTTCATTTAGTCATCCAAAATAAGAGACTAAATAGAAAAATTAACAGAATGGATCATCTTATAGCAAAAAAATATTTTATGAAAAACTTATCTAAAAAAATTAAGAATTTTTAAGGAACTAAACTTAATAAAGTCAGTTTCATTGATATAAAATGTTTGACAATTAATGAATCAAAGCAAGAGTTAGATTAAAAAAATTAAAAGGAACTAAAAAAGAACTTGGTCCATCATGCTAACAAGTATATCTTTATGAAATTAAAAGTAAAAAAAATAAATTATATTACTATTGTATTTCTATAACGATTTTCAATGCACCCAAAACATGTTTTTTTAATAAAGTTTAAATTATCAATTCCTTAAACTGTATGTTTAAAGCACTTATCAGCAAGACCTTATTCAATTGTTGCAAATTTTTTGCTTGTGCTTTCATAAGCAACTGCTGACACATTTAATTGTAATGACCATAATAAATGAACTAGGATTGTGGAGAGCGTAGGCGAGGGTGTGACAACTCTCAAACCAGGTGACCATGCCCTCCCAATATTCACTGGGGAGTGTGGTGAATGCAAGTATTGCAAATCAGAGGAAAGCAATTTGTGTGAGCTTTTAAGGATCAACACGGACAGAGGAGTTATGCTCAGTGATGGCAAAACAAGGTTTTCCAAAAATGGACAACCCATATACCACTTTGTGGGAACATCTACATTCAGTGAATACACTGTTCTTCATGCTGGATGTGTTGCCAAGATCAACCCTGCTGCCCCACTCGACAAAGTTTGTGTTGTTAGTTGTGGATTTTGCACAGGTTTGTGTCATCCACATCCAATTTTCAAAGACATAATGCTTTAAAAAGTTGCAAATAATCTTTATGATTTTTTAAAAATAAATGTATATAAATCATTTTTTTCATATACATGTAGGTTTTGGTGCTACTGTAAATGTTGCAAAACCAAAGCCTAATAATACTGTTGCTGTCTTTGGATTGGGAGCTGTTGGTCTTGCTGTACGTTATTCCTCTCTCCTTTTTTATTCAATAAACCAAAAGAATAACAGTGAATTTAGATTAACTTTTCAATATGCACTTAATAGAATATAAAATAAAATAAACCATTTTTTCAGGGTAAAATTAAATTAATGTACCTTAATTTTTTATTTAATTTCTCTATAATTTAAGTCCATATATGAGATAAGTTAAATTGATTTTGTTTATTAATTCTTATTTTTTTCTCGTACAAGTATTTAATAAAAAATTTATGCAAATTCATTCTATAATAACTAAAGCTCTAGACTTGTGATCTGCATTTTAGGCCGCGGAAGGTGCACGGGTTTCTGGTGCATCTAGAATCATCGGTGTTGATTTACTTCCTAACAGATTTGAACAAGGTAGGTTTAATTACTATTCAGATTTTAGAGATTCAATGGCTAACTACATTGCTATATGTTTCTTTTGTTTGGTATTTATTGAAAATTTCTATTACATTGTTCTTGGTCAGCCAAAAAATTTGGAGTCACTGATTTTGTGAACCCGAAAGATTATAACAAACCAGTACAAGAGGTTAGTTCATATTTCGTAGACTATTTACCAAAGTTTAATTTTTATGTGCTCACAAATATTATTTAATTTAAAAAAATTTATTTAATTAATGGCAAGTGAATTAATGCTCTATTGTATTGACGTGTGACATTTTTTAATTGGTGGAAGGTCATTGCTGAAATGACTGATGGAGGGGTAGATCGTGCTATTGAATGCACTGGAAGCATCCAAGCTTCGATTTCAGCATTTGAATGTGTTCATGATGTACTTTCCCAAAATCTTATCCTTATTATACTAACTAGATCAGCATGCAATTCATCTTATTATTTGAACTTCAAATGCTTCTCTTCAGGGTTGGGGTACTGCTGTACTTGTTAGTGTGCCAAAGAAGGATGTAGAATTCAAAACTCATCCTATGAAATTCATGGAAGGGAGAACTCTAAAGGGTACCTTCTATGGTCACTTCAAACCCCGCAGTGATATTCCTTCTGTTGTGGAGAAGTACCTAAAACAGGTGATCACAGAGCCAGATATATTGATAAAACAGGTCTATTTAGAAGAGTTTATGAAAAGTTTATAAAAAAATTATAATTTTTATAGTTGTCCTAACTATTTAATAAACTTTTTCATAACTTCTCAAAATTAACCATTTTCAACTTATATAAATAAGTTTAATATCAAATTTATGATATAAACTTTGTATGCCACCCAAATGCACATTCAGTGTGTTTAATTTTTCCTTAAATAATGCAGGAGCTGGAACTGGACAAATTTATCACTCACTCGGTTCCATTCTCAGAGATCAATAAAGCATTTGATTTAATGCTGAAAGGGGAAGGAATAAGGTGCCTCATCCGCATGGAAGAGTAAATGAAAAACAACAATAATGTTCTCTGTCGTGAGAACTGAGAAGAGTGTTTGTGTGTAATGTGAAATGGGCAATGAAGAATAAAATTGGCATGTAATTCGGTTATTGGATTCGTGCTTTATGAGTGTGTAAAGAGGTAAGGGGGTGATGACTTTCTTGCTCATTGTTGTGGTTTTGTGACTTCTGAGACAAATGTTGTCCTGTAACTTTGTTGTCAGCAATATATGCATATTATCTCTCACTCTTTGTCATTTCATCTTTATTACCACCGATTTTTGTTTTTATATTTTAATTGTGACAAGTACTAATCAATATTCTTAGAATATTAGTAAAAAAAAATTTAAAAGAAAAAATTTATTATTTTATTACGAATACACTCTCGTTATAAGCTAATGTCTTGTTATTTTTAATTTTAATTTCTTAGCTTAATTAATAAAACATTTGTTTACTTCCTACTATACTTACCATATTTATTATTTTATTTTTCTTTTCAATTTCTCTCTTTCTATTAATCTATAGGCATGCTTTTACGGTGTTAAAAAAGACTTGTTTTTTTCATTATGTTCTCCAACTTGGATTTGATATCACATAAGAAACAAAATAACCGACATATTAAATATGATATAAAAATAAATAATTATAAAATGTTAAAATATCTTTGATAAATTTACAAATAAAATATATAATTAATTCAATAAAAATATTAATTTAAAATTCCTATAAAAATGTGATTGCATGAAAAGAAAATAAAATATACGTATTAAACTCATTTCATTGATATAAATGAACATTACAAAATTTTTTCTACAAATATTTTGATTCGTGTGAGATGAAATGAGCTGAAGAGTGAAGCCCAGATAAAGAAAACAAAACTAAGATTTGAAAATTACATCATGTAATAACCAATTGGCTAATTGAGGTGGGGAAACTCAATTATGTAAATATCAAAACAACTTCTAAGATTCTAATAAGCTAAACAGCCTACACATGGGTCCTTCCATGCAAAATGTAGGTGAACAAAATGTCACTCTTATCTAACCAACAAAAAGAAAATTTGTAAATATTACTCTAAATGCGAATATTTTTACCCAAATGTGAGAAATATGTATGTAGTCATTGTTCTGAGTAATTTTTATATATATAAATTAATAAATTTTTGACTTATGTTTTAACGATATTACATCACCTTAGTAGTAGTTTGCTTTATAAGTCTTTTTTTTTTTCATTCTAACTCTTATAATTAGACCGGTTTGGTTGTAGGAAACAATTTTTAAAAATAGTTTTTATTTTTAAATTTTTAAGATTTAAAAAATGTGTTTGGTTTGATTTTTTATTTTTAAAAATAAAAATATTAAAAATATGTTTGGTTTGACTATTTTTTACAACAGGTTTATTTATTTTTTATATAAAATTTAAAATTGACCATTAAGGTTTTGTTAATAAATAATTTTTATTATAAAAATCTTACAATATATATATCCTTACTTCTGTTAATTTTATTATACTGTTTATTTAACAAATTTAAATATTATTACTATTGCATCTTAAGACTTAAAAATAATAAAAACATTAAATAAACATAACTATAATTTAGACTATGGGTGATGATTTTCTTAATATAAATTTATTAATCTAAAAAAAGTTAAAGAGTATACACTTTTCTCAATTCAGTTTTATTTAATTATAAATATTTTAATAATATATACGTACTTTTACCTCTTAGCATCCTAAACACGATTTTAACATAACTCATAAAACTTACCTCTTAGCGTCCTAAACACGATTTTAACCTTCAATCTAGCTCCCAAACGATTTTTGAGGTAATTTAATTGGTAAAAATGGGTTAGGAATCGAGAGAATAGAGAGGGCTCAAAGGGAGAAGTGGGAAATAAAATTTTCAAATCTTAAATCCCTCAAATACCTTATGAGTTGTGATATTTTTCGCTACAACAAAAAATTCAGATGAATTTATACTCTGATTTCTGTAGAATTTCACTACAGTGAGACTACACCCAAAAATGTACCTTTCTTTGTTGTTCTTTTGTGCCCTTTGTCTAAGACCTTCTCGCTACCAAAGTTTATTAAAGAAAGCATTAAAAAAAACTTTTAAAAAATAATCTTCAAAACCAGATTTGGATTCAGGAGTCATTTACGCGTATGAAAGGTATACAACGTCTGTTGATTAAAACGATTATCTTCTAATTAATCATGCAAAATTTATTTTAACTTTAAAATATTCATTTCACTCTAAAATAAAATAATTAATATATTTTATTATTTTCAAATTTATCTTTATCTTTTAGTTTTATTTCTAATTTTTGTAATTTTAAAAGGTTTTAATTTTATATATTTTCATAAATAAAGTTAGAAAAGAGAGAGAGCAATATAGAGAAAAAGAGAGAATTTAATTTCATTTCACATCATCCTCAATATAAATGAGACACTTATTTGTAGGCCTAAATCTAGACCAAAGAATCTTATCTCTTTGAATGTGAATTAAACAAAATGGTTAAATTACAATGTGAGGAGTTATGAAAATAGACATTAACTCATATAATAATTCATAACACAATGTGTAATTTTTTTAATCTTTCAAACAACAAAAAAATATTATGTTATGTTATATTTTTTCTTCAATTATAGTTTACGTATTAACCCATACAAGTATTATACTTAAGTAATTTTAATATTATTTCAATTTTTCATGTGCTAGCAAAAGGAGTAAAATTTAAACTTGCGCTTTAAATCATCACAAATTTTACGAAAGTATATTTTAAAATTCAAAAACATATTCGATTGTTGGTCTCGATTACTTTTTTGGTTGTGAATATTTTTCCATAACAATATAATTAAAACTTTTGAGGAAAATTATATTTACTAATTTCATGTTTTGATTGATAAAATATTTTCAAAAATTTAAATTAATACTCCTTATTTTTCTTTGTATTTAGTTTGTTACATATACGTCCTGTTATTTATTTGTGGATAATTTATTTTTTATGATAGAAGTTTTTTTACATAAATTAAAACTCTTAATTGTAAAACTCATGAAAGATCATCGAGCAATGATAATATTTTTACTTGTTTTACTGAATGAGAAAGAAATAAATAAAAATGAAAGATAAAATTAAAGTGAAGAAGAAAAAATAAATTAGTTGAAAGTAAAATAAAAAAAGAATAAAATAGAAAAAATAATGTATATGTACTGGATAAAGATCAACTCGGTCCTACTTGTAGGAAAAAGAAACTAAGTACCTATTTGGCATAATAGGTCGGATATCCCTCGTCAGGATTAAAAGGTAATTAACCCAATTACGGGTAATAATCAAGATATTATTTACTTTAAATAAAGGGCTAAAATGAAGACAGGCTCGACAGGCCTATTGGCCCATTACAGTGCCTATATAAGGAAGGTAAAAGTACAGGTAAAGAGTTGACTTTTCATTATTAAATAGCATTTATTACTCAGAACCGAATCCTGATTTCAGCATCAGAGTGCCTTTTGCAGGTACCCTCTCACGTCAGCAACGGTTAGAGAAACGTCAACACGTCAGAGCAGAGACTTGACGACCCGTGTTACCTTAACAGGAATATTTTGGCGCCCACTGTGGGGCACGATTAGCCTCATTTTTCAGAATTAAACATGGTACTAACGAGAAACCAGTAGGAAGGACATGTTCAACAGGGAGGAACCTCTCAGCAACAGTTGGAGAATGTTACACCAGATGAACCGACACCTGAAGTATTGATGCAAGGAGGGACCGATGAGAGCCTTTTAGCTTTACTAAGATAGCTCAAAGCAACAATGGCAGAGATGAAAAGGGAGAGAGAGAAGGATGCACTAGAGCTCTCGACTCTGAGAAGGGAAAATGCTACCTTGAGAGGAGAGATCAGAACACACATCCCTTCCCAAAATACACCTATCATCCAGGATCAGGGGGAATCCTCGGCGCTGCAAGAGAAATCAAAACAGGTTTATCAATCTGAAGCTAAAAATGACCGAGACGATCTCGTAAGCCGAAGCCCATTTGTTCACCATATACTGGAGGTTAAGCTGCCTAATAATTAGAGAGGCTTAACAATAGATAAATATGATGGCACATCGGACCCTGGGAAACATTTGGATGTCTTTACAACCCAAGTCAGTCTGTACACCAAGAATGATTCTTTATGGTGTAGGATTTTTCCCACCTCACTCCGAGGGCCTGCACTCAGTTGGTTCACCCGACTCCCCTTTCATCTATCGACTCTTTTGTAACACTCGCAAGACGATTCAACTTGCAGTTCGCCACAAGCCGACCTCATCCCTTAACATCCTTGGCGCTGGTCAACATTCGCCAAGAAAAGGGAGAGTCACTTAGAGCGTTCATGGAACGCTTTGGCAAAGTGACCCTTTCGATCTATAACTTGGAGCCAGCAGTGGCCATGCACCACCTCACAACGGCCTTAAAGCCAGGACCTTTCGTTAATAGCATCTGTGAAAAACCACCTGTCGACCTAGACAAGTTAAGAAGTCAGGCTGCAAAGTATATGCAGATGGAAGAATTGTCCAAGTACCAAAACCGGATACGGATGGACCAAGGGTCCAATTCAAAAAATACAGACAGGAGAGAAGCTTTCAAGGCTAGGCAGAGAAATAAGAGAAGAAATGAACTTGAAAGGCCACCCCAAGGACCTAAGTATCCTTCCTACACTACGCTCAACACTAATCGGTCCAGAGTACTTGATCAGGCATTAGCCACAGAAATATTGAGAATGCCTAAACGCGCCAACACCCCTCCTCGGGCAGATAAAAGCAAGTCTTGCCGATATCATCAGAACAGGGGTCACACCACTAAGGAGTGTACAACGCTAAAAGATAAGATTGAAGAATTAATCAAGGAAGGATATTTAAAAGATTTTGTACAGACAAATCCCATCGGTCAAATTAAGAGAGGAAGAGATCAATACCCTGAACCGCTGAGGAGATCCAATGACAAAAGATTCGAACAACAGAGGAGTAGGTCCAGGGAACCCCAGCTAGAAGATACGATGAACGTGAGAAGTATCCTAAAAGGATCATTAATACCATAGCTGGAGGGTTTGCAGGTGGAGGACCCACTCATTCGGCCAGGAAGAGGCATCTCAGGCAGGTTTGTTCTGTCAATAATGTTTCATTAGGCAGCAGAATCCGGATCCCCCTATTACATTCACTGACGATGACTTTCAAGGAGTCGATTCCGTGCAGGACGATCCCATGGTCATTAGTGTAGATATTCTTAATTGCACCGTCCAGAAAACACTAATTGATCAGGGGAGCTCGGCTGACATCCTGTATTGGAATACGTTTAAGCAATTAGGCATCCCAAAAGAAGAGCTCAGAGAATATCATGAATCGTTGGTTGGTTTTTCTGGAGAAAGAGTGAAAACTCGGGGCTGCATTGACCTGTATACCTCGTTTGGATCAGAGCACGAGGGAAAGCGAGTAAAAGTCACTTATCTTGTGGTGCATGCGAATACCTTCTATAATATACTACTCGGCAGACCATCCCTAAATAAGTTGAAGGCTATAGTATCCACTCCACACTTGGCCATGAAGTTTCCATCTGAAAGAGGCCGAATCGTTACAGTTCATGCTGATTAGAAGACAGCTAGAGAATGTTATTTTGCAAGTCTACGTCTTAAGCCTTTCCATGGGGGCAGCCGAGATGTCAACATTGTATCCCCTCGGCTGGGAGAGGAATTGGATGTGGAACTGGATCCTAGAACGAATGAGGGGTGTCAGGTTGAACCCAATGAAAATAAGTAGCCTTTCCAACTTAGATCAAAACCGGAGCAAGTAACTTATTTAGGGGTCAGGTTGAATGTACAAGAAAAGCAGGTTTTTCAGGAAATATTGCTGAATAACACCAATTTGTTTGCTTGGTCAGCTTCAGACATGCCTGGCATCGATCCGGCATTTCTATGTCACCACTTATCGGTTTATAAGGGGGCCAAACCGATAGCTCAGAAGAAAAGGAAGATTGGCGGTGATAGAGCAAAGGCAGTAGAAGAAGAAATGGGTAAGCTGCTACAGGCCCGCTTTATCCGAGAAGTCAGGTATTCAACATGGTTAGCCAACGTGGTCATAGTTAAAAAAGCCCATGGTAAATGGCGAATGTGCACAGACTTCACAGACCTCAACAAAGCATGCCCAAAGGACGTATACCCCCTACCAAACATTGATACCCTGGTTGATGGCGCAGCTCATCACAGGATACTAAGCTTTTTGGATGCTTATTCTGGATACAATCAAATACGTATGTATCCCCCAGATGAGGAGAAAACGACATTCATCACAAATTCAGCAAATTTTTGCTACCATGTAATGCCATTCGGTTTAAAGAATGCAGGGGCGACATACCAGAGACTCATGAATAAAATTTTTGAGAAACAAGTGAGTAAATGAATGGAGGTGTATGTGGATGACATGGTGGTTAAATCCCTCGCATTGAAGCAACATCTCAACCATTTGGAGGAGTTATTCGGCAAAGCCAGGAAGCATAGTATGAGGTTCAATCCCGAAAAATGCACATTTGGTGTAGCCAGCGGTAAATTCTTGGGTTTCATGTTATCCGAAAGGGGGATTGAGGCAAACTCTAATAAATGTAAAGCCACCATCGAAATGACCAGCCCTCAGAATGTCAAGGAGGTTCAACGACTGGCCGGGCGGATTGCAGCCCTCGCTAGATTCTTGCCAATAATGGTAGAGAGGTCTCGGCCTTTCATTGAATTATTAAAGAAATCCCAAAAATTCGCTTGGTCCAATGAATGTGAGGTCGCCTTCGTCCAATACAAGCATATGCTAGCAGCATCACCTGTGTTAACAAAACTGAAACCTGATCAGGACATGATTGTTTATTTGGCTGTATCAGATAACGCCATCAGTTCAGTTTTACTTCAAGAAATACCTGAACCGGCTCATGTATACTTCGTCAGCAGAACACTCTAAGGTCCCGAATCTCGGTATCAATTAATGGAGAAAGTGGTGCTTGCCCTAATCCAAACAACTCATCGGTTAAGACATTACTTTTAGAGTCATCGAATGGTGGTACAGACAGATTGTCTAATATCTAAAATTTTAAGAAAACCTGAGTTGGCTGGTCGGTTGGTAGCATGGGCAATAGAATTATCCCAATTTGATATACACTTTGAAAGCCGACGCCTCCTTAAAGCTCAAGTACTTGTCGACTTTGTCAATGAATTCACGGCTCAACCACACACCAGTGGGGATATGTGAAACTTGCATGTTGATGGATCATCAAACCGATCCCGTAGTGGAGCAGGAATTATACTCGAAGGCCCGAACACCGTAACAATTGAACAATCCATTCGGTTTGGATTCAAAGCTTCTAATAATCAAGCTGAGTACGAAGCCCTCCTAGCCAGCCTCAGATTGGCAAGGGATGTGGGAGTAAAACGTGTCACTTGTTGTAGTGATTCAAAGATAGTGGCCGAACAGGTCAATGGAACATATCAGGTAAAAGACTCGGTCATGCTCCAATATTACCAAGAATTTAAAAATATAGTAGCTGAATTTGACAAAGTAGGAGTTCGATACATCCCGAGAGCAATGAATGAACAAGCTGATAAGCTTGCTAAGTTGGCCAGCCAAAGAAAACCTGGTCAATTACAAAGCGTAATTCACCAGGAAATCCTTAAACTGAGCATAGCTAAACAAGAGTACCTGGATGTAGAAAATGTGCCTCACAATTGGATGACCCCCATTATCCAATACCTTACTAATAGCAGCCTGCCAAATAATCCAGACTCGGCCAAGAAAATAAGAATGCATGCAGCTAAATACCTCCTTCTCGGCAAAGACTTGTACAGAAGAGGGATTTCAACACCTATGCTTAAATGCCTTGACGACGACCAAGCAAACTATGTCATGAGGGAGATTCACGAAGGAATCTGTGGTACCCATTATGGTGGACGAACCATGGCGGCAAAAATACTCAGAGCTGGGTACTATTGGCCAACACTCTCCCAAGATTGCCATTTGTTTGTAAAGAAATGTATTCCTTGTCAACAACACGGTCCACAATTACATCAACATGCCGACACCCTCCGCCCTATTAGCTCTCCTTGGCCCTTCGCCATTTGGGGTATGGACCTCCTCGGTCCTTTCCCCTTAGCAAAAGGGCAGTGTAAATTCCTAATTGTCGCTGTGGATTACTTTACCAAATGGATTGAGGTCAAACCCCTTGCCACCATCACGGCCAATAATGTACATAAATTTACTTGGAAAAATATCATCACACGTTTCGGTCTCCCTCATGCGTTAATAACAGACAACGGATTGCAATTCACAGATCGGCGATTCAATAAATTTTTGGAAGGGCTTCATATCAAGCACAGGGTTACGTCTGTCGAGCACCTTCAGACTAATGGTCAAGCTGAGGCCGCAAACAAAGTAATTTTGCATGAATTAAAAAGAAGATTGGGTTCGGCAAAAATAGAATGGGTAGAGAAGCTGCCCAAGGTGTTATGGGCTTATCGGTGCACACCGCAAACCACAACAAAGGAAACTCCTTTTCGGCTTACCTATGGTATTGATGCCATGGTGCTGGTAGAGATTGGAGAACCTTCATATCGAAGGGAAAGTTTCAAGGAATCGGCTAATGAGGAGGCTCTGGCCGTCAACCTGAACTTAATAGATGAGATGTGTGACGAAGCAACCATTATGACTGAGGCGAGCAGAAGAATGCTGGCTAGAAAATTTAACTCCAAAATCAATCCACAACAATTTTATGAAAATGACTTAGTATGGCGAGTAACTAGAGATGCACGCAGGGATTGGCGAGAAAGGAAGTTGGCAGCTAATTGGGAAGGCCCCTTTCGGGTAGCGACAAGATTAGACAATGGAGCATACAAGTTAGAAACATTAGAAGGAAAACTAATACTGAGGACCTGGAATGTTACACACTTAAAGTATTATTACAGTTAAAAGCTTGTAATTTATAATCGGTGTACTATTTTCCTTCCCCAAGTTTTATCCTCTTAAAAGAAAGTGAAAAGGAGTTTTCCTAGGAAAGTTTTTAATGAGGCACCTCATCAATAAAATACTTCTTCTCAGCTATACGATTTTTTATGAATCAGTATTTCTTTCAAGTACTTCATTTGGATTAACTTAATTCCCTCCCGAGTACCCCTACTCGGCCAAGGATGAATCATTTAAATTCCCTCCCAAGTGTTTACTTGACCAAGGTTGAATTAAATTCCCTTCCGAGTACCCCTACTCGACCAATGATGAATCATTTAAATTTCCTCCCAAGTATTTCTACTTGGCTAAGGTCAAATTAATTTAATCCCTCCCGAGTACCCCTACTCGGCCAAGGATGAATCATTATTTAAATTCCCTCCCAAGTGTTTACTTGGCCAAGGTTGAATTAATTTAATTCCCTCCCGAGTACCCCTACTCGGCCAAGGATGAATCATTTAAATTCCCTCCTAAGTGTTTACTTGGCCAAGGTTGACTTAATTTAATTTCCTCCCGAGTACCCCTACTTGGCCAAGGATGAATCATTTAAATTCCCTTCTAAGTATTTCTACTTGGCTAAGGTCGAATTAATTTAATCCCTCCTGAGGTCAAGGTTGAATTATTATTAAAATTCCGTCCCAAGTATTTCTACTTGGCCAAGGTCGAATTAATTAAATCACCTCCCGAGTACCCTATTCGGTTAAGGTTGAATCGCTATTAAAATTTACTCATATTTTTTACTTCGCTAAAGATGAATTAGTTAAATTCCCTCCCGCGTACCCCTACCGGTCAAGGTTAAATTGCTTATGCCCAAGTTTTCAATACAAAGTACAAGAGAAGGAGAAAAAAGAGATTCTATTTCAAAATTAATGGCTATAAAATTTGAGCACTAATGGCTCATGAATACAAAGAAAACAAATCTAATTTTCTTCCCCTTCCTCAACATCAGGACCGGCTACCTCGGGATTAGCAGCATTTTCATCAGTGGTAATTTGTCTTGGGGCTTCGGCGTCAGGCTCCACATCATCATCAACCTCGTTGTAAGGAATAAACCTGCCGCCAAAGAAGTCCTTCGTGATGTCAAAATGGAAATCGGCTGGAACCTGGCAGAATCCATGGCATTGGCGAATAGCATGGTTAAAACTGGACTCATGTTCATAAGCCACTTGCTGAGAATACTTCTCGGCAAAGGTTTTCATCTCAGTTTCAGCCTTTTTCTTTTCAAATGCCAAGGCTTCCTCCATCTCGATAGATTTGGCCCGTAGGGCCTCCTCCATTTGACAAGACTTCACCCTTAACACCTCCATTTCCTCCTCCTTGACCCTCAAAGACTCCTCAGCTGCTTGAACCCGGTCTTCCACTATCCGGAAGTGCTCTTTATATTGATTAACCTGACCCTGTAGGGATTGAATGGTCTCGTTAAGATTGGCTTGAATTTCTCTGCTCTCTGCCAAAGCTTCTTCAGAAGCCGAATAGGCAGTTTTTAACTTCTTAACTTCAAGAATTGGATCCACAACTAGCTTTCAGAGCATCGCTGTTGATCGTATATGAAGTTCTGCATAGCAGCGCCAGAGCGATTCATGGTCTATGTTGTTGACTAGCTCTTTCCTCGAATCAGACAA